ACAAAGGAATTTAACCCTTCGAACTTTGAGCTTTTTTGCTTGGTTTTCATTGTCTTAGCTGGGAATGCCATGTATTGTTATTACAAGGTTCAATAGGCTACTACGTACTGATATGATGCTGATGTGATACTGAACATGTTCTAGGCATGGGTGGGTTATGAGACAATTGGCCCCTGGGCACAGACATGCAAAAGGCCCCACCACCAATGCTACATAGGAACACACACACTTTGCAGTCGCTGGCATCTTTTTGTGGTTTTGTGTCTCTTTGAAGTCATTTTGAGTCTTCTTGTGATTGTTTTATGTCTTTTTGTTATTAGTTGGGATCTAACTGAGGTAATATTGTGTCTCTTTAAAGTAATTTTGTGTCACATTAAGGAAGTTTGGTGTCTTTTTTGGTCATTTTGTGTCTCCTTGTGATTGTTTTATGTCTCTTTGTAGTCGTTTAGGGTCACTGAAGTAATTTTATGTCTCTTTGTGATCTTTCTGTGTCTCTTCGTGGTCATTTTAAGTCTCCTTGCGATTGTTTAATGCCTTTTTTTTAGTCGTTAGAGGGTAATTTGACATAATATACTGTGTCTTTGAAGTAATTTTGTGTGTAATCATGGTGAATTTGTGTCTTCTTTGGTCATTCTGTGTCGATTTAGACATTTTGTGTCTCATTATGCTCTTTTTGTATGTCTTTGTGGACTTTTTTGCCTCTCTGTGGTCATTTTGAGTCTCATGTCTCTTGTGTCTTTTTGTCGTCGTTTGGGGTCTCTTTAAAGTAATCTTTTAATTAATTATCCCTTTAAGGTAATTTTGTGTCTTCTTGTGGTTGTTTTGTGTCTCTTTGTGGTCTTTTTTTCTCTCTGTGGTCATTTTGAGTCTCTTCCTGGTCTGTACATATTAATTTACTTGATGTTTTGCAGGTGAAGGCCAAGGGGGGCTTCCTGACACTTTCTGCCCAGTAGGCCTGATCAGTAATCCATCTATGGTTCTAAGCTGCTTTTTATTGAAAACATTTTACCAAGAGTTTAACACAGTTTCGCCCATATGTTCACAAGTTTTCAGCACTTAGCAAATATCTCCTATGAGGCTGAGGGGATCCAAAAAACACCAAATGCTTAGCTAAGGTTTAACTATACAGAAACTAAATCCCAACAAAGGTGGACCATAAAGCTTAAAGGTCCACTGTGTGGGGTTTAGAGGCATCTAATGGCAGAGATGGGTTATAATATTCATAACTGTTTTCATTAGTTGTAATCACAAAGTCTGCCATATTGTTCTACAGTAGCCCAAAGCTGACAAACCAAACACAAGCTCTAGATAGGGTAAATTGTATTTTCAAGTTTTCACGCCAGGGGTAATATCGCTAGCACATGGGATGAGTTTCAGTTCTGTAACCTCTGAACACTAGACCACTAAATGCCAATCTTGTTCAGCTATTAAAAAAACGTCTGGCAACCATGAAAACAACGAAAAAACAACAACCCACAGAGCCTCAAGGAGGCTGCATCATGTGTGCCCAAAGTGCAGCACAGTTCAGTCAGAGCAACCGCAAATGTGTGTAATACGTTAATGGAAACAATTGGGAAAAATCAAATACATCATAGACTTACAATGAGTAGCACTAAACTGTTAACTAGTTCCAGTGCAGTTTTTAATCCTGAATAGATTCTGTAGTCATGCTATCCCACCCAGTATATTTTAAGAGCAGTTGAAAAGTATAAAAGTTTAACAATGGTCTTTTCAATTGTTCCTCTTATTATCACCTCATGTCTGAAAAACACAAAATTTTCTCAACATTTATTTTTTGGCGTTTTGTAACAAAGTCGTGAAGCAAATGCAGAGAAAGAAAGGAAGCTTTTTACAATGGTTGTATCTGTCTGAGTGTACTTGGTGAAATAAAGTGATTGTGATGGCTAACAGAGCAGACTGTCATCCTCCCTTCCCGTGCAGTGGTAGGCTAATTCCTCTGACAGACTGTCTTCCACAATGGCTACTGGCTGCTGTCTTCTTAGCCTGAGGGCCTGTCTGGTTGAGTGAGAGTTTGTGTGTGTGTGCGTGTGTGCGTGTGTGTGTGTTGTGTGTGTGAGAGAGAGAGAATGAGAGAGAGATACAGAAGGAGAGAAGCTGGGGAGATGGAGAAAGAGAAAGGAATAAAAGAGACAACCAGGGAGGAGGAAAGCACTTTTGTGTGGACGAGAATGTGTGTGTGTGTGTGTGTGTGTGTGTGTGTGTGTGTGTGTGTGGTTGCTATGCCGTCTCTAGGCCCTAATCTCTTTAGTAAGCCCCATGATCCAGTTAGAAACAGCGAGTGGCTAATGTCAGGGCTAACTGGAAGAGAGGGATCTATGTGAGTGTGTGTTTATAAATGTTTGTGTGTTTGCCTCTGACTGTATCCATGTCCTCATTGAGACTGTCGGGGTCTAACTGTAAGAAAACTTGAGTGTTTGTGTACTAGTCAAATAAATGTTATTATGCCTGCAAACATATCCACCTCTGTGTGTGTGTGTGTGTGTGTGTGTGTGCATGGTTTTCTGTGTGTGTGTGTTGCAGGGTGTGTCTGAAAGCAGCAGTGCCCATTAAGGCTGAGAGATTAGATTGAGTGGATCCAGATTCTGTGCTATTGTTCCTCTCCAGCAGGCTCTCTCTGTGGTTTGTAAAAAAAAAAAAAAAACAGGACAGGTGCAGGAAATGGATTTTTTAGTTAATTTGCCTGGTCAAATCAGGGTTAATCTGGTTTAACATCTGGTCAGTATTGAGAAATTTTAACTTACAACAGTGATTCTTGGTGTTCAGCAGTGATACCGATGCAGCAAATACAGTTTCTAATTAGGAAAAGGTGGGGAATGTAAAGAAACATAAGCCTAAATTATTCTGCTCCTCTCAGTATTTACAAGAGATTCATATTTCTTTTCTTCAATTTAATAAAACTTTTTTAGAAAGGAGTCTCAGCTGGAAATAAAGACAAACATAGTTGGCGTTTATGAAACTACCAGTTCCTGAAAATATCAATCCATCCATCCATTAGAGGTGTACAGAGATGCTGTTATTTCTGTATCTGTTCAGCCACCACAATTATTTGCCTCTGTCTCCGTATTCAGATAGAAGACCGGAAGTGGGTTATACCAGGGGTCACAATTAATCGGGCAAATGTTTTGTCAAATCCAATATTCAGTGGAAATGCAATTGTTGTGCCCTCAAAACAATACATTTATTTATTATCGGAACATTAATACTTCTGAAATATATTCCAACATACTCATACTGCCTCTCTCTATCTCTCTGTCTAGTTTCATTTTTAACTAAACTAAGTTTTATGAACTGCCTGAACCTTTCTCACGCAAGGCATTTGATCCAGTCCACTTGTAAATGCTGCCGTGAGAACATGAACCAACTCTAGGCAATTAATACCTAATTATTATTAACTTTGTAACCATATTAGTCCCTGATTCAGACCAAAGCAAGACAACTCTAGGTCTGAAAGCACCCTAAGACTACAGCTGAAAACAACAGCTTCATTTTGATGTACCAGTAGCAAATCCAGCTGCCACACCAGGCTTTTTGTCTTACGACTCCCCAGTTTCTCAGAGTGATGGCAAGAAACCATGATGTGCAATGGTTCCAGGTGGTTCAGGAAAGCTTACAAGAAAATATCACAGGTTCAGGAGGGCTGTTCAAAGAGTGAACCCGAGGAAAACCCATGCGAACACTGGGTGAACATGCAAACTCAACACAGTAGAGCCCAAGCCCTCTTGCTGTGAGGCAACTGTGCTAACCGCTGCACCATCACGCTGCAAACACTAAAATGAATAAATCATGAACACAATATGTGGTAGATAATCTAAATATGACTGATCATGTACACGTAACTGTACATCTTGTGCAAGGAAAATATTTCCTTGTGAAACTCAATAACATTACATAATTTGACAGATATAATTTTCTGCTGTCCTTCAAACCAGTATTTGTCCCATCTTCAGATAGTGTTTATTTTATTCCAATATGCCTGAAATGCTAAGAGGCTGTGTATTATCTTGGTCCGTGATGGTATGAAATATATGGTACATTGAGTGCAGCATGTAGATGAATGTTGTAAATGTGCTTGAAGCTGTCATGGCATGATTAAAATGGACGTGGTGATCAGCAGTTTTGTCACAGAGGGTAAAAGTACAGCTAACTCACCCGCTGCCATAATAAACGATAAGACGCTGACACAACGGGAATGATGAATACTCTGAACTAATGGCTGCTCGCTCGCTCACACGCATGCATAAATATGACTGACTCTTTTTTTTTTTTTTTTTTTTTTTTTTTTCCATTTCGGCCTGTCTGTCTTTTCACCTCCGTCACATGTGTCTCTTCCTGTCCAATCAGTTACTGTACGTGACGGAAAAAAAAAGACAACCTGTCCTTCAAAAATCGTATTACACCGTTCCTTCACTCCAGAAAATTCAGCACCCAAAACACATCGTATAACAGCTTGGGAGCGAATGTAGACCGCCTCAAAAGTTGTGATATGAAAATCATTCATGCCCCTGGGGGGATATATGGAGAGGAATAAAGGATGAATGTGGACAGACAGAAATTAAACCAAATTCTCCCCTCCCACCCAATCACACTGCATCACAAATCACTAGCTCCGCCGCTAATTCAGGGGTGTTACGGTGTGCAGGCCTTGGCATATGGCATATGGTGTGAGTGTGTGTGTGTGTATGAGCATTTGTGTGTAGAAGTGTGTGTTTGCATATTATAGTTGGGAGATGAGGGAGCGAGAAAGAGAGACAGAGAAAGAGAGGGAGAAGGAAAAGATGATTTAGGAGTAATGAGAGCCGGTAAAATCATGGTGCCCAGCGGCATTATGGGACTAAATCTAATCTGCTAATGGAGAGGGGGGCGTGGGCTGGGGATGGGAGGGTGATGGAGGGAGGAGGAAGGGGTGGAGTAGAAGGGGAGATAGATGGAGAAGGGAAAGGACAGCAATGGCAGGAATGAAGGTTGAAGACAGAGGAAAGGAGGGAGGGCAAGAAGGACAGAGAAGAAAAAGGGAGGTATCGAAGAAGGGAGGAGGATGGAGAAGTCTGAGACAGAGTAAAGCGCAAAAAAAGGAAACATGGAGGGGAAGGAAATTAATACAGAACCAAAACACACTGACTAAAGAAAGAAAGAATGAGGATGATGAGAATAGAAGAAGAAGAAGCGAAGCAAGATAACGGTGAAGATGCCAGAGAAGAACATACCACAAAACAAAGGAAGAAGGGAAAATTAAACAAGAAAGCAAGAATGCAGAGAGAGGAGAAAAAGGTCAAGGACATAGTGAAATGATGGGAGGTGAGTTTAGAGTGTGACGTGTGTGTACGTGTGTGTGTGTTAGAGAAATAACCTGAGGTGGAGGCACTGGGAGGGCAGGACCCAGGAGAGCACAATCAGCACATATTGCTATCACATGGTGCACAAAATGCTCTTTCTCTCTCTTCACACACACACACACACACACTCGCATGCAGATGGGCAAAGTTTGCACACCATACATGACGTACATGAAACAACAGAAACACCATCCTCATTGTTGCTCTCTCTCTCTCTCTCTCTCTCTCTCTCTCTCTCTCTCTCTCTCTCTCTCCCACACACACACACACACAGACACACTCGTACACACCCACACACTCTGCAGAAGGCAGCCATTGGGAGGTAATTGCCCCAGACTGTTAATGTTTTCCAGGATAAAACTACACCAGTCTTTACAAGGCCGGGCTAATTTCACAACTTTACGTCGTTACCTCAACAAAATGGCTGACAACCGCACTGCAACCACTCCAAAGAGATACAAGAGAAAAGAAACTGGAAGTAGATTTTATTTTATACGTCTAATCATTTATTTAAATGTCCTGTGAGATATCGGGTGGTGCTGCGGGTATGTGCATCATTTGGAGGCTTTTTTAAATTATGCCAAGTGGGGCCACCCATGCTGAAGATGTGCAATGTGTATATCCTGCAAGGTGCTCTATTTAAACATTCCTCCAAATTGTCTTTCTAGTGTTGCACAGAGTCCCTTTATAAGCCGCACATTTCTATTTTTTGTATTGCAGCATTAGAGTTGCAGACATTAGTTGATTAATCAATTAGTTGATCAACCTAAACTTAAAGGTATACTGTGCAGGACTTTCCTAAAACACCATGTATAGACTCATACAGATGTAATCCGTCTAAATCATCACTTATGACCCATTTGAAGTGTATGGCGGTATACTTTTCTGCACGGGCTCTGTGCCCTGCCATTTTCTTATTTTCTTCTTTGGGACACATATGGGCGTGTACCCCCACAGCGCTCAGGTGAGGTCAGGGCTAGCAACCAGGTGACAGACCATAAGCAGGAGGCATCCAAGAGACACACCTTGCCCAAAATAAAAAAACAACCTGCAAATAAAGTGCAGCAGAACGACAATCGAGCGTGAATCTGGGGTTGGCTTTTACTTTCAATTTAGCTGGCGAGCCTGTTTACAAACCATTACTAACAATCCTGCACAGTATACCTTTAATTGAAACTATATTGATAACTGATTAATTAATTATTCAAGCAAAAATGCCAATTATTTGATGGTTCCAAGTTTTGCCAAACATTTTGTTGTTGTAACATCATACTAAATTTATAGTTTTCAGGTTTTGGACTATTGGTCATACAAGACAAGACATCTGCGGAAATATTTTGTGCTCTAGGACAGTAGTTCCCATCTGGTGGGCCATAATCCAAAAGTGGGTCACGGGTCCATTCTGAATGGACCGCAAGTGACTCACAAACATGACAAGTTTGTAAAAAATACATACTTTATTTTGGAGTACAGTGAATTTCCTACACAGAGCTTTTATTTGAAGTCACGTCTCCTGCTGTAGAGTGAGTGATGGACAGCTACTTAACGGTGACAGCAAACTAGTTCCATGAAATCGCCAAACGCTAGCATGATGCTGAATATATTAAAGTGTGTAGACCCTGAAGTAATGAATATAGAGAAATCTGGACCCTGTGGCTACACCAATTGGAAACCAGGGGTCCTTGCAGGAGTTCCAAACAAAAAAATGGGAAATAGTTTATTTTCACGATCTAATTTACTATAGAACTGAGCCCTATGTGAGTAAGAGTCACAAGAGTGACTTTCCTCCATGGTTATCTCCTCAGCTGTAGTTGACAACTATCGCACTCTGGTCCTTATCATATCTGAGGGTGATCCCAGCTGACGCTGGGCAGGAGGCAGGTTATACCCCGGACAGGTGGCCGGACCATCACAGGGCTGACACATTGAGACAGACAACCATTCACACTCACATTCACACCTACGGACAATTTAAAGTCACCAATTAACCTGCATGTCTTGTCTGTGGGAGGAAGCTAGAGAACCCGGAGAAAATCCACGCTGACACCTTACAGAAGAGCCCAGCTGGCTGGAAGGTTTGAACCTGGAACCCCTCTGCAGTGAGGCAGTGCTCAAATGGGGGTCCATGACCTATCAATTTAGGTGTCCTTGACAGCCAAAAGGTTCCATGTTTTCTGATGTTTAATATACCCAATGACTAATTGAGAGAATAATTGACAGGTCAATCAATGCTGAAAATAATTAGACAGACAGCATGTCAGCATGTTGTTTCTGCAGCATTGTGCTGCAGCAATTTTTCTTAAAGGGCTGCAGAAAGAGCACATGATGAGTTATCTGCAAAACCATTGCTACACAATCTAGAATATGAGTCATCTTTAAATGATATGCTATCAGTCTCTAGGATCTCTTCATTATGTGATGCTGAAACTCTCCAGTGAAAGCAAAGTAAACTCACCTCGTTCAGGCTGGGTGGCCCTCGCTGCAGTGCGGAGAGCGATTGTCAGACTGTCAGATTTTATTGTATTGCACTGTATCATATCATATTGTTTTAAATCATTTTCATGACTCATGTGTCTGTGATCATCTCAGTTTATAAATACAATCTGCAGTTGGAAATTGAACCTTGGGCCGCAGTGGTAAACTCCTACACGGGTTTGAAGTCCAGACACCCTGTGAAACTGCACCAAAACCTCAACAATCTGCTATGAGCAACACAAACAGAGCAGAGCCGCATGGCAACTCCATTATCTTGATAGTAAACAGGACCCCAGCTCTGCAAATTGCAGTATCTAAGCTACGACATCAACACACAACAACGAGCTAAGAGGTCCAAAACATACAACACACAGAGTATTGTATTGGTGCATTACTGTGTTACTGTACGACTGTCCACTGAGCAGCCCTTTACCTCAGAGAAACCTTAACTTAAACACATTAAATGTAACTTGAACTCCTAAATGAACTCCTAAAAGACATTACTTCCCCCAAAAACACTTTTCGCCCAGGTCCCCAAGAGTGTAGAAAAATAAATCCAAACTCCCTATAATTCAGCATGAGACGATAGCCGACCGTTATGGTGGCAATGATACTAAACAGCAGCCGGACACAATGTCAAGCTGTAACATCTTGTGTTGGGCCGTTTGAGTCGCAGGTCGGTAAAAGAAAACACAGATGCAACATTACCCTGCAGCTTAGACAATTACACCAAATTACACTGAAACTCTGCAGTGGCTCTTGTGTTTATGAGGTAATGTACAGTTTCAGTACATGAGATTGTAACCGCGCTCCCTTACACATTCAGGTCACAGGCACGCCGCTGCAATCAAACAGCCATTACAGTGTCGAGTGTTACTGTTGAGACAAAGCAGACGGGGAAGAGATAGGGTCAAAAGCAGTTATTGAATGAATTAAAACATAGAAAGTTCTCTTATTTGCACTAGATGAACATGAAATATCTACTGCTGTGCAATGTTTACATAGAATAGAATAAGTCGGGCAGAAAGCCGCCTGGTGGAGCTCAAGCAAACCCCACCCAGCAGGTAGGCCGCCTGCATCAGAGCACCTTGCCTGGCAGAGGGACCAAAAGGAGTTTCCGGACAGTAGATGGCGCTGTAATGCTTCTCTGTGCTTCTTTCCAAGCACAATCAATGCATTCAGATCACTATCACACACTCTGCCTGCTCATCAACATCAATACCTGCAGATCACTCAGAGACAAGGCTTACTATCTCCCATCCTGGTGAACTTCCACAGCAACACACACACACCTGTTAAATGCACCCACGAGAGCAGACATCTATTTTCATTTGAGTAGATTCTTCTACTTGCATAAATTACGGCATGACAGAGAGAGTAAATGTATCTTGTGTCTTTGCATTTAAACCTATTGTCATTTATATTAGATGTGTCATTAGCTTGGGTACACTGGAAATAATTCAAACGTAGCACTGCATAATTTCCCCGCTCCTGACTAAATGCCCTCCAAATTTGTCACTGCCGGACATGAATCAAACTGACACATTGTTCATTAAGCGGGCTGATGAAAGGCAGAGTTGGCACAGTGAGGGGAAACAAAGGGAAGAAATGGATGTCTGCATTTTTTTTCTCTCCTTCCACACCTGTTGTGTGTCTTCTCAGTCTATCCTCTCTTCGTTACGTCTGTCAGTCCGTCTGCCGTATCTGTCTTTCTTCTCTCTACAAAGAAGAAAGACAGACACTGGAGGGATCTGTGAATCATTATCCTCTGCTCACCCAGTGACACCGAGAAGCTAATAGGCTCCCAGCAGGGAATACGTGTGTGTGTGTGTGTGTGTGTGTGTGTGTGTGTGTGTGTGAGAGAGAGAGAGAGAGAGAGAAAGGGTGTGTGGAGAGAATTTACATCTTTGAACATATATTGTCTTGTTTCTCTTTCTGTATGTTAGCGTTCAGCTTTTCTATGTTCAAACATGCACTTCCTATTCAGTTTGTCTGTGTGTGCCGTTGTCTCTAAATATGTGTGTGTTTTGTGCACACGTGTGTGTATTTGCACACACACTCAAAAGAGTGTTTCTGTGTGCGTAAGAGTGTGTGTGTGTTTCTCATTTCCTCCATGTAGAGATTAGGGCCAAAGAAGAGCAGCATTATCAGACAGCTGGAAATGAGATCTCAGTAGGGGACTCGACTCCTCTGCCTTTCTTTTCATCCGTTCTTCCACACCTCCGTCAGTCCCTCCTCCTCTCCTGCTACTCCTCCTTCACCTCCTTCTCTTATCCTCTCTGCTAGCTGTGCTTTTACCTCTCTGTCCCTCCCTCCTGTCACTATATCCCCACTCATCTTTCATTCCATGCTCACTTTTGTCAATCCTTGTACTAACAGCCCCGCCTCACCTTTCTATACCTGCGGCTCTTACTCTTCTCTCATCTGTCCATCCATTTATTCCTCCATGTACTCATCCTCTGCCTCCCTCTGCTAAAAAATATTATGTCTGTCTAATTGTCTTTATGTGTTAGACTTTATTTCGTTAGTAATCCATTCATCAATCCAGTGTATCTACCTAATGGCGCAAAGGAGATTCTTAATATCTGAGCTGCAATCGACTTTCCTGTACATAAGATGTGAAATGCAGATTAAAAATTAAAGTAGCAATCTGTGAAGCAGAGTCTAAAAGTTAGCTATTAAAATTTATGCTCATTGAGTTCTTAATCACTGTTCAAGTGTGGCTACAACTTGTTACTGAGATTTTCACTCCAAACTGACTGTTGCTGCTGTTGAAAACAAGTCATGCTTTACTTCCTGCGCACTAGTGGTCAGTGGATATTGGTTTTTCAGTGGCTGATGCCGATATTTAGAGAGCAGGGCAACCAATGGCTGAAATAAAATGCCAATATCATGGTGCTGTTTTTTCCAATATATACAACAATCAAATTTTACTTACAAATGAGACATACTATTGCTGACTTACATGAACATTTATCTTAATGCAATCATTATTTGCATTGCCTCAGTTTGCTGATCTCAAGCAGCCCAATCAACTGATGGAGCAGCTGATTGATGGAAGAGAGTCAGCTGATAGATCACCTGATTCATTTCCATGCAACCAAATGGCAAATCTCATTCTGGGCGCCCTATTTAAACTGCTCTGGCCTGCCTACTGTTTCTGCTTCCTCTGCAAGCTGCTTTGCAACCGACCTCCACCCCAGCTCCTCCTTTTCATGCTGTGACTGACTTATCAAAGTCATTTCTGTTTGTCATTGATGCTGCTCTGTTCTGTTCCCAGGGTTGTTTGCTGCTGCTCCCCCTGCCTTAGGCTTTCCATGTGGGCACATGGAAGGGCAGAAAGGTGTGCTCTCTCTGCCTTAAGGCTTTCCATGTAGGCGCATGGAAGGGCAGAAAGGTGTGCTCTCTCTGCCTTAAGGCTTTCCATGTGGGCACATGGAAGGGCAGGAAAGTTTGCTCTCTCTGCCTCAGACTTTCCTTGTTTGTACGTGGAAGGGCAGAGGTGTGCTCTTTGACTACAGTGTTCCTGTCTGAACTACTAATTAGTTTAACCTTACACGTGAGGTTTGTTTCTTAATATCTAAACATTTATTTAAAAAAACAAATGAATGAAACCAATTATTCCTCCTCGGTCAGGCAGGGCAGGGGGTCAGCTGAGCGGAGCAAACACAAGGCACCTCCATGTATAATATTAGGGGACAATGAGATGTGTCTGCAGACATTTTTGTTACCAGCCTCCAATTGCAGGTATCAGCCAATGCTGATTATCCCAACATGGCATTAATCAGTGGATCGACTGTATTTGTTCTACCACTACCGTGCACTCCGGTTTTCCCAGGACAGATTACCACTAACCATGTTTACAACACACAGCTGAATCAGGATGGACTGAATAGCTATTGTGTTACATCAGTTGGCAGTTAACTTGCAGAAAAGACATCTTGTATAATTGTTTTTATATTGATATAACAATCTCTTACTGTGGTGAGCATGGACTTTTGGCTTTTATTTTATGAACATTTCCGGAGTCTACTTCCTGTGTGGGCTGTTTGCTGCTGTGTTTGCCTGTCTCCAGAGGCTTCTCCCTTCCCCCGCCCTGCACTGAGGCTGAGTGCACACACCTGTGACTCATCTGCAATCAACGGGCTGTTAAGACTGCCACCGTCTCTAGCCTCAGTGCCAGAGTATTCGCAACTGAACGCAGTGGTATCTCGGCTCCTCTGATCCTCCAGTGAATTAAGTATCTTGCAAGTTTGATGGTGTTTTTTGCTCCTCGTGTGTTAACCCTCGTTCTCCTGCCTTTTTTGTTCCAGTGTCTCCCTCCGTGCCTCTCAGCAGCCCACAGCCCAGCACTCTCACCTGGTTTCCTCACTCTGCACCTCGACTCCGGATCTCCTCAGTTCTCTGCACAATTCTGACACAATAAACCTGTTAACCCTCTTCCCTCTGTGTCTGCATTTTGGGTCCTATTCCTCACTGCCATCACATCTTACATTATTACTAAGATATATCTGGACAGAGTTTGACTTTCTCAAAGTCAAAAGTAGAAACCTCAGAATGGTAAATTAAAAACAGACAAGCGCATGACAAGTGAACACGATAGTGAGCGAAGATCTTATTAAGAAAGACCCTCCGCACGCTGATAGAAACCGAACTGTTTAGGATAAACTGCATCTCTGTGAGGCCATTTCCTCGTGCCATTCTTTTCATCTTCTTCTCCTCTTTACTTTTGGCAGTCCAATGTCACCATGACGACAACAAAACAAACACGGCCCGAGCCACGGTTTTGTAGATAAACACTTCATTGTTGAGATCTGTCGTCTTGTCATGGAAAAGTTATGAAACAAATAAATCTATCTTGAACAATCTGTTGGAATTCATGTTTGGCTCCACTGGAAGCACACAGCATCACATCATCATATAGTGTGTGTGTGTGTGTGTGTGTGTGTGTGTGTGTGTGTGTGTGTGTGTGTAGGGCTGGGATGTAACAGAATCCATGTTACAGCACTACATAAATAAACTACAAAAGAAATTTAACGTATTAAAGAGAATGCTGTGGTTAAATTAAAATACAGTATACTAGAGTAATGAGATAATTACAGAAGTGGCTCTGTGAGGACTCTTGGATGTCGTTCAGCAGGAAAAAGGGAAAAAAGGATGGTAAACTCTAAGTAAAGGCAGCAAAATGTCCAGTTTCAACACTGGAAAGAACTCACTCCAAGGTTAGAAGCTACATTCAAATATATATTCATATATATATTTACGACACAGAGTGGATGGATACTTGTTTAAAATGTAATATGAAACCTTTCTAGCAGCCTGTCTGTATATCTGTGTGCACAGGGGTCAGCGTAGAGTCTATTGGGTATTTCCAGGAAGTGGTAGCCAAACTAAGTTTATTATCTCTCTTCCTCAATCAAATCAGTGAGAGTGAAACATGTAGAACAGGACACCATTTCCTGACAACCACACACACACACACACACACACACACACACACACACACACGCTGCTATCTTGACTCAAACATCTACTGAGTGTGACCATTGTGCCAAAGAGAGGAAATCCCTTCGCAACCCACACCTACTCGCGACATATTACACCGTGGTCTGTGTGTCTGTACGTGTGTGTGTGTGTGTGCTTGTTTGGTCTGCTGATGCTATCTCTGTCTCTCATTGACAGCGAGGAAGGAAATGAACAGTCAGTCACACTGACAGCAACACAGTCTCAACCGGAAACAACCGTTCAGATATAACGCTTCATGTCTGTTGACACATGATGTGTAAAACGAAGTCTGTACTTTTGAAGGAAAAATAACAAATTCAAATACATTTTTACATCTCACATCTATTGTTTGTTCACAGTAACTTACGGATAGAAACCCCCTGTGTAAAATGAAACGACGCCGAGCAAACGCTGCCTCAATTGGTCAGTTTTTAGCCACTTAAAAATGGCCAACTCAAAAAAATCTATATCAGTTTAAGCATACGCTATATTTAGAATATTTTCACTGCTTCACCTTGCCTTCACACAGACCTTTCCAACGGGGAACTAAAGCTGCTTGTACAAAGAACCAAAAGCCAATGACAAAAATATTATTTCAGAAAAAGGGAATTGCTGGTGGTCTACCACTGCCTCAATCAGTTAGCGTGTGAGATAAAGTGGTGAAAATATTCCCCATATGTTGTACATTTACACTAACAATGACTTTTAGGTGAGACCTTTCATTTGAGGTTGCTAAATTATATTATGCTACAGCCCCTGTCACACACACAGTCACACACTGGCTACCATACAAGGTGCCACCTGCTCCTCAGTTTTTAACACATCCACACAGCGATGGAACAGCCATCGGGAGCAATTTGGATTTCAGTATCTTGCTCAAGGATTCTTTGACATGCAGACTGGAGGAGCCGGAGATTAAACCGCTGATCTTTTGATTAGTGGACAACATACTCTACCTCTGAGCCTCAGCCTCCCTTAAATAAGGTACAAAAAATATCTCTAAAACGTACTAAAATGTCCTCCTCAGTGAAGTGAAGTGTTTTGAAACTGTGAACTCATTAGATATGAATACACAAACTCCACTTAAAGCTTATCAAGGTCTCACTGTCTTACACCTAATCACTCTTCCTGTCTGAATAACATTTCCCATCTATCATTCAACATTTTATTCTGTTTTTTATCTCTTTCATTTTCTGTCTTAACTTCATCTTGCTCTGCTGAAGAGATACAGTGTCTATGTTTACCTCCTTGACCCCTGTCTCTTCACTCTCATCTCCATCATTCTCAGTGTCCCATCTCTGCCCTGTGCCCTCCTTGTCTCTTTGCTACTCTTGTCCTCTCCTCTAATCACAGTTTTCACTTGATTGCCCCTCTTCTCTCCTGTTCGTGATCATATTAGCTCTCTCTTTACATTTATAGACACTTTCATGTCTAGCAACTTAACCGCTAAGGGCTCTCGACATATTGCGAATGCTTGTGTGCAGTTTTTTTTGTTTGTGTTCGTGTGTTTATGAGGACATGCATCCACCTGTATTTATTTGTCTGCGTATAAGTGTAAATGTTAGACGCTCTCCTCCCAGACAGTCTGAGGGTACAAAGCCGCTGAGATTACACGTGGCGCCGTTGGCCATGTAGACACTAATCAAATATACGATCCCTGTGTCGAGTCTCAACGGGCTGATAGAGGAAAAAGAAAGATGGGGGGCAGCAGGAAAGAGCCATGCAGAGAACTGAGCTGACCAGCCTGGTGCGACCTGTTAGAGAAAATGTGGGAGGACGGAGAGAGAGAGGGAGAGATGCAAGGAGAGAGAAGGAGGGGGAGGTAGGATTATAAAAAATACACATTCATAAATCACCCCATCTAAATGTTAATTGGTGCTAAATGGCACGTTTGAATAGGTTAAGTGGATGCTCTGAATTAGTGTACTTTACGTAGGTGGTTCAATAAAAGCCCATTTCTAAACCCATAACTCCCCAAATATCATTTGTGTCAAACAGCAGAGCACTTGATAGCTTCACCTCAGACAGACTGCACAGTTTCAAAATAAAGTGAAGCATCGGATCATTTAATTCAATCAGAATCTTTCCCTTTCAATCTGTTTTTGAAAGGGACAGTTCACCGAATGTAGCATGTACCCAGTGTACCCACTGTGCACAAAGTGGCCCACCAGAATGCTAAGCACCAACAAGGGAGAAGTTGCGGAGCCTAAGTGAAGGAGTTGCGAGCATTTGACCATTTTGCCCAGTGGAGAATTAATTTCCTTGCATTGCAGATATACTTCATCTTTTTCTTCGTCTTTTTTAACAGCACGGCCCAGCGAGTATCCCCTGGGGCCGATTAAACACTCAGTGTCACTTACACAGAGGTTGGGAGGGTTAAGTAGACCGGCTGAGCGTTAGACAGACAGAGGTAAATTGCTACAATGACAAACTGCCGCACTGCTTGTATGAGTCCCACTGCGCTCTGTGACATGGTGTGCGTGCCCCATACAGTTATCTGAATAGGTACAAACACACACACATATAAATATATATATACACTGTGAAAAATGCTGCTCTGCGAGTGAGTGGCCCAGCCAGCCAGCCACCGTCTCCGTCTCCATCTGAGGTGACCTCAGTGATCATGACATCATGAGGTAGGTTTGATTTATGTGCGTGCTGCGCTGAGGAGCATATTCAAACAAACAGGCCCTGGGTGGAGCAGAGGGGGCCCCATGGGAGGAAGAAGGAAGCAGCCGGGGACACGAGGGGAGAGGAAGAAATGTGACAGTGAGAAGAAATATCACAGTGTGAACCTGTACAATATTGTATTCTAAATATAGTAACAGTATTTAATTACATTCTGTCTGTAGGTGCTATTTTGTTTGATACACGCCATGCTGTTTACCCCCTGACCAATCAGACAGAGCCCTTGCAGTTGGGCAGGGTCCAACATTAAGGACTGTCTGATGGCCGGGGGCCAGTGAATACAATCAGCCAATTGCCCGATGAAGCCAGTGCTCAAAAAAGTGAGCTAGCGAGCAACATTACTACATCTGCTCTACTCTCAAAGACTTTGCTCCACTCTCCCTGTGTCTGTCTACGAAACAGGCAGGCTTGTTTGCTTAATAGATGAAATGGTGGTATATCTTAAACAACATTCGAGCTGAAATGCAAAAGAATATTCTCTGCGTCAGCTCAGTGCTTAGTGGGTATGTCGTAGAGCCAGAAAGAGTGACGGTGGATGAGCTCAGAGCAGACAGGTGCTGCCGATCAGAGAAGCAGAGAAGAAATTAAAAGTAAAGTTGTCAAGTCGTAGTAAATGTACAGTGTAGGTTTCAACTTATTTCAACTTATATAGTACAAGATCAATAGAAGCAGGGGTCTACCACACCAGACAGGACCCCAGATGCAGGCTGTGCAAAGATGCTCCTGAGACAGCAGGGTGTAAGATGCAGGCAGGAACAGTGTACATGGGACACCATATCCAAGTGGCTGGCATAGTGTACAAGAACATCTGCATTGGGTATGGACTGGAAAATCCCAAGGTCACAATGGAAGACACCTCCTAAGATGGTTGAGAATGACCCAGCTAACATCCTGTGGGACTTCCAGATCCACACTGACAGACTGGTGATGGCTAACCAACCAGACATCGTGTTGATCGACAAACAACAGAAGAAGGCAGTGGTGAGAGATGTAGCAATGCCAGGCAACACCAACATCAGGGAGAAGGAAGACAAAAACCGGAAAAATACCAAGGGCTGAAAGAGGATCTAGAAAAGATGAAAAAGACCCCCAAACTGGGAGAGTGGCTCCAGCAGATTCCAGGTACAACATCTGAGGTCTCTGTCCAGAAGAGAGCAGTCCTAGGAACAGTTAAGATACTGCACAAAACCCTCAAACTCCCAGGGCTCAGGGGACCCGAGCTTGAGGAAGACACACCACCACCATGGGGGGAGTGTGAGGAGGATTAAAATTATATACATAC